GCGGTGGCACTGAGGCATTCGGTAGAGCTCCCTATGGGGCCACGAAACGTGTGAGGGAAATGCCGAAATTGGTGTCGGTGACGCATGCGGGCGGTTGCACTGGGGCCTTCGGTGGAGCTCCCTATGGAGCCACGAAGCGTGTGAGGGGTGTGCCGAAACGGGCGTAGGTGACGCATGCGGGCGGTGGCACTGGGGCCTCCGGTGGAGCGCCCTATAGGGCCACGAAACGTGTGAGAGGTGTGCCGAAATGGGTGGTTGACGCATGCTGGCGGTGGCACTGGGGCCTTCAGAGGAGCTCCCCATGGGGCAACGAAGCGCTGTGCTGGGTGGGTGAAACGCAGGGAGGAAGGAGGGGGAGGAGAGGGATGAGGAGGAGGAGGGAGGAGGGAGGAGGTGGAGGAGGAGGAGGAGGAGGTGTGACGCGGGGCGCTGTCTCTTCAAAACGAAGACCCAACACCACAAGATGGCTGGGAACTAAGAAAACGCATGAGTTTTGGCCAATCGGGCCGTCATCGGGGTGCTCTGCGGCCGTCTTGGAGGTCTCTTTCCAGCCGTCTATGGGAAGTCTCGGGGACAGCTTGGGCCTTGGTGAGACTCTTCGTAAAGCTTTCTGGCGCTCTCTTGAACGTCCACGGGCCGTCTTGGCGAAGGCCGTCCCGAGAGCGCCGGCCGACGCCCCCCCCCCCCGGCGCGAGGAGCCGCCCCGAGCCACTCTGTCTGAACTCGCACGCGCTGATCCCTGTATTGCAGCATAGATGGCGTCAGGCCAGCTTCGCCCCCCGCATCACGCTCAGCAGGGCCAGGGCTCGCTGCCACTGCTCGTCCTTCTGACACGCGCTGATCCCAGCGCTTCAGCTGACTAGGGCTGATCCGTGGGCTCCGTCCAGGATAGGCTGCCACGAAGTGGCAAGTGATTTGCGCTCGCCTCCCACATCGCCCCGTTATGGCGGGCGGCCGTCGTGGGCCGTCTTGGGCCGCTCCTGGGGCCGTCTTGGGTGCCTCTTGGGCCGTCTTGGGCGCCTCCTGGAAAGCCGCGGGGCCATCCTGGACCGTCGCGGGACCGTCTCGGGGCACTCTTGGAGCGTCTTGGGGCTCTCTTGGAGGCCTCCTGGGCCGTGTTGGAACGACCTCGCAGGGTCCTGGAGCCGTGTTGGACCGTTCTAGGGATTAGATGGCGAGAGCCTGGGAATCCTTCTAAAAGCAATGGGAAATCTATGTTCTGGCCGTCTCGCGCCCTGACGGTCTTGGGAGGCTTCTCGCCTGTCGTCGGGCACTCTTGGGCCGCCCTGGGGCTCGCCGGGGGTCCGCTCGGGCCGTCGGGGCGCTCTCTCTCAGAGCAGCCTTGGGGCCGTCTGGGGTCATCCAGCCTCCGTGGGGAGGCCCTCCGAGCGCTCTGGTGACTTTTTTCCAGTTGCCCTGTCGAGACCTGATGGCGGGCGCTGCGTTCTCCTTGGGAATTGTTTGGGGGGCTCTCGAGGTTTCTCTTCGGGGCCCTCTTGGGCCGTCTTGGATGCCTCTTGAAGCCGTCTTGGGCGCCTGTGGGGCCGTCTTGGGACCGTTTGGAGGCCCTCTTGCGTCATCTCTGGCCGCTCTTGGGGCTGCCTTGACTGCTTCTTGGGCTATCCAACGTTTTACGTTTACCAAAGGTTTTGGGACGATGTTTACTGGTGCGGGCTCCTGGAGCGTTTTGGGGGCCTCATGGGTGCATATTGGGGCCGTCTTGGGCGCCTGTGGGGCCGTCTTGAGACAGTCTGAAGGCCCTCTTGGGCCATCTGTTGGCTTCTCTTGGGGCTGTCTCGACTGCTTCTTGGGCTGTAATGGGCGCCACGGGAGCTCTCCTGGGGCCTCCTGAGACGTACTGGGCCGATCTTAAGGGCCCGTATTGTCGTCGTGGACGCTTGGAAAACGAAAAACAGCGGAGTTGAGAAAACCTCCTGACACGTCTTGGCCCGATGTTGGGGGCCCATATTGGCGTCGTGGACGCTTGGAGAACGAAAAGCACGGGAATTGCGAAACTGCACGTTTTCCATAAGTTTTGGGCCCGTCTTTGCTTGTGCGAGCTCTCTCGGGCGTCTTCTGGAAGCCCACTTGGAGCGTTTCGGGCGGCCTCCTGGGCCGTCTGGAGGCTATCTGGAGCGTCTTCGAGCGCTCGTGGACCGTCTCGCAGGCCCTCTTGGACCGTCTCGGGGCCGTCCGGGCCCTCGAGCCTCCGTTGCGGGGGCCCTCCGAGGCCGTCGTGGAGCGCCTCGGGGCCGCGCAGGAGCACGTAGGGCCCTGCCAGCACTTCGAGGTGATGCACGCCGCAGCACGCGCGGTCCACTTTTAGGGCGCTGCGCGCGCCGTGGGAGGCGAGCCCATGCCGCCCTGGAGTCACCTTCGCAGTCGCTGCCTGCAGGTGCAGGGTAAGTGCTGCCTGCGGCGTGCCGTTTCTGCTTTTGCTCTTGCTGTGCTGACGCTGCCTGCTGCGGACTGCTGCTGTTCGCTATCGCTGCTGGAGGCTGCAGGGTGCTGCTTCTTGGTACCCTTGATCGATGAAGCAGTCAGCAGCTCGTGAGTGGAGCGAGGAGCGAGGAGCAACGAACGAGAAGTCAAGATCGAGTCGGGAGGTGGGGGAAGCGAGAAGCGATCAGCGAGGAGCACGGAGCGAGAAGGGAGGAGCGACGGCGAGAAGAGAGATGGGCGATGAGGAAAGAGGGAGAGCCG